TTCTAGGTCCCTGTGGGTCTCTCCAGTGAACTCTCCTGTGAGGCTGGGAGTTTTTCCCACTTCTGCAATTCCTACAGCTTTTTACAGCCAGAGGTTTTGAGGCTTTATTTTCCTGTGCTGGAACCCTGGGTTGCATGGTCTGTCTCTCTTCCCAGTTATTTCTCTCGGTTTATCTGCGCAAATGTGAGACCACCTTGTCCACCAGCCACCACTTCACCTGTCCTGTTCTCTAGCTGCTGCCTTACTGTTTGTCCTCTCCACCCCCACTGCCCATCTCTACCCCTCCTGCCAATGTGGATGAATGTTTCTTTAACTCCTTTGTTGTCAGACTTGTATACAGTTTAATTTTCTGGCAGTTCTGGGTTTTTTTTTGTTTTTTTTTTAAGTTGGTTGTTATTTTTCTTTTGGTTGCACAAGGAAGTAAAGCATATCTACCTATGCCTCCATCTTGGCTGGAAGCTGTGTGTTCTACTTTAAAGTCAGGAAGTTGCAAATAGCTTTCATTGTCATCCATGTTGAGTTGGAATTGCTGCCCTTCCCCCTGCATTTTGCTAGTCATCATTTGAAACTTTGAAATAACTTCTTATAGTCTTAGAAACTTATTATTTTTAAAGTGAGTGAATCTGGTGCTTGCCCATCCTATTATTACCTATAGATTGCCTTTCCCATTAAAAGGAAGACAAGTCCCCTTCTCAGGTGAAGCCTGCCATTGTTTGGTGGCATTCGTAGTCTTGGTGTTATTTTTCCCAGAAGTCAGAGGTATTATTTCTTTGATCACCTACTACTAGCATTGTTTCCTGATGTTCTCTGCTGGTCTGGGGAACTTACATTCCCCAACAGAGAATAGGTTAACTATGAGACAAATTAGAGAGTGAAGTAGATGAGAAAGTAGTAATTTACACAATGTAGGTATTAAGCATGACTGGAGTTAATAATAGTTACTCAGTAAATGTTAGGTATAGTGTGCCAAATACTGTGCTAAGTCCTTTGTGTAATTTTTATGTTTAATTCCCTTTGAGATAGGCATCATCCCCTTTTCAAGGATAGAACTGAGGCAGGGAAATATCAGACAACTTAGCCTAGGTCACGTAGGTGTGAGAGTGCTGAAAATCTGAGCAAGTGACTGCCACACTTGAAATCTACCTACCAGAAGGTGAAATATGTGACCTGGAAAAGACCAGACAAGGCTTCAAAGATGAGAAAGGATTAAAACTTGATCCTTTAAGAAATTGTTTAAGAGAAAAAAAAAAAAGACTAAGCACAGAATGGGTCATGATAGTCCAGTTTGGGGGGAAGATCATGAGGGAAGGCTGAGTGTGTTCTTACATGTGATGGAATGTTCCTGAGATGCGTCTGAAAGGTTTGCAGGGAAATGGTGCCAGGTGTGGCTCGGTGGGTGAGTCCTCACTTCCTGGTTCTCCAGGGGATGGAAGGACTGCACACTGAGCCTGTGTGGGCCCACCTGGAATAGAGTAAGGGGACCGCCTTTTACTGTCCATTCCTGATGTGTGACAGTATGCTTCATGCACTCACACTCAAATACTGATTGATCACTTTCTCTGTGAAAATATTTAGAAACAGCAACATATTTATGGAAGGTTTTTAACCTTGTTGAGTTTCGAAGATGGGTAGCTTAATTAATCTGATTTTAGGATATATGGTTAGGAAGGATAAATTGTTCCTAATCCTTCCAACACTGTCACCAAAAAAAGTGGATTTGGATATTTTTAACAATACAAGTTTACCTCAGAAAAAAGACACTGGTTGCAAGATCTGAGAGATTTGGCTTGGTAATATTTCCTAGTATGAGTTGTTATTTTATTGTCTTAAAATCAAGTTCTGCTCTAAGCACCATGAGCTCTGTACTATTTTGATTTCTGTAAATGTTGATTGTAGTCAGGCAGTTGAAAGACCAAGACCTCTGCAGTGTGCCATTCATTTCAGCTGCAGTGAGAAATGAAATCCCGGAGGTTCTCGTCTCAGTCTTTTTATGGTCGTCTTGTTAGACTGCGAGATTAAAGAACTTGATCTCAATTTACAAGTGTGGATTGACATTTCATACCTGGCTCTTCTCCAAAAGTTGATCTCATTTTATCCCCAAACATTAGAAATCAAGCACACCAAACCTGGATTGACATAATTTGATTTGCCACATTAGCTAAGTCACAATTAACTGTGTTAATCTTCCATGGTCTGTCTAGTGCAAGTGTTCTGTGTGATAATTCTCTAAGCAAAATCTCACTTCAATTTCTAATTTTTTTAAAAAAGAAAACCAACCTGTTCCTTCTCAGAAAGCTTCAGTTTTGTATATTTAAATTCATGACAGTGTCAGTGGTTTTCTTTATATCTCTCTCACTGTAATGGCTAAAAAAGTGCTTAGTTTTTCCACAATATCTTTGTGTAGCTTCAGTTGTCAAGTGGCATTTTGCTGAAATTGAAAAATATAAAACAAAACAGCAAGCTAGGGTTTAAAAATTACAACTTGCTTCTGCAGCTGTTGTTTAAATCAAAAACTACCAGCAAATCCTATCGCATCAGTTATACTAAATTTGTAACAGTCTGGACTGCATGAAGTTGTTGGAAGTCTCCAGGGATAAAGAAAGAGTAAGCCTAACATAGAGGGAAGTGATTAAAGTTGCAATATCCCCTTTTATGAATGAAAAAAATATATAGACATCCCTTCTGGACCTAATCTAAGACTTTATAGGAAGGAGAAATACATTTGTAAAAATTTAATGGGAAAAAAAGGGCTTAATTATTTTAGTTTTACCATGCAGAAATTTTACTGGCATCCTGGGAAATTCTTATTTTTACTCATCACTATTGTTGAAATCCACACTTGAATGAGTTTGAAAATGCATAGAAAATTGTTTCATGTTTCTTCCCCCCTCCTTTTTTTGTTTTGTTTTAGAGGTTTAGCAGGTATTTCCCCATGTGGTATCACTATTTTAAATTATTCAGCTTATTTTAATTATTAAAATAATACATGGTGGTTTTAACAAGTGAAATAGCCTCATTCCCTTGAGATGACTTTGGTTAGCAGCCTGGGCTATAGTTTTATGCTATTACTTTAAAAAATAACATTTGGGGCAAAAGCCATAATTTTGTGCTTTAAAATTTGTGTTCTGATGTGATTTCCAAAATATTCCCCTCAAATGAGAGTGAAGGATATACTTAATATGTTCCCAAATAAATAAAAATATTTATTGTTTCTCCCCCACCAAAAAAAAAAAACCCTAAGTTTTGGTTTTTCTTAATTCGTGTCTGTCTTGCGTGTGATTGTGTGCCTTCTGGTTGGGTTTCCTCCAGATAAAAAGGGACCTGCTGAGGGGGATTGAGCCTGTGAATGCAGCAGTTCTGCGACTTGGCCATTCTGCAGGGCCTGTCTCCTTTTCCAGTTTAATGTAGCACCTGTGCTTATGGATGTGCCAGCTGCTCTGCGAAGGGGGGTTCTGGCTCCTCCTGGCTTTAGGAGCAGCATTGGTTAAGGCACATTCTTTTTTAAAGAAGATGTTCTTTGTTTTTAGGGAGGGAGAAAGAGAGGAGGAAAGATCGATATGCAAGAGACACATTGACCTATTGCCTCCAGGGATCTGGTCCGTAACCGGACATGTGCCCTGACTGGGAATTGAACCGTGGCAACCTTTTGGTTTGCTGGACAACATTCAGTCCACCGAGCCACACCAGTCAGGGCAAGGCCCTTTCTTGAGATTATCACATGTACTTGCTCCAAGGCTGAAATTCTGTGTGCTAATGATTTGTTTCATTTTCTGTAATCATTGGTGTGTTATCTTAAGGTGCTGAGAAAAAACTGGTTGTGAGGTCCAATTTTCTAAGTGGAAGACATATTTTCTTGTTTTTTGCCTCAACAAGACAAATTGAGATAGAGGTTGGCGAAAAGCACATGTTGATGGCAGCTCTGAGAGGGCACTGAGAGGGTGGAGGGTGATTTGAAAGAGAGACTGAGGGGAGGGGACTAATCAAAGAACATGGGTGAATGACCCACGGACATGGACAACGGTATGGGGGTGGACTGTGGGGGAGAGGGAACAGGCTGGGCAGAGGAGGGGGAAGGGGGAAGAACTGGGACAGCTATAATAGAGTAACAATAGACAAATCCTAAAAACAACACAAAACAAAGAAAGAAAGACTAGTGATCTGACAGACACCCTGGTCCTGGGATTTGCTGGATTTGACAGGGAAGAGTCTGGCAGCGCTCGCCACGGTCTGTGGAGCCAGGGGGAGGGGGGTGGGGGAGGCAGAGGGTAGGGGGTGAGGGGTGCCGGCAGCTGACTCAGGTGGACTGTAAAGCCTGAGTAGGAAAGAACCTCACAGAAAATATGTGCAGCTCCCGGGAGGAAGGTAGAAAACAGTATCTTGAGTCATTTATAGAGATAACTTTATTTAAAAACTTGATGGAAATTGTTGATAGGAATTTTGTTCCAAAACAAACTTAAAAAAACAAACAAACTCAGGTGTAATCTTGACATAGACATTGCTTTAAACTTTTGGTAGGTAAAGCAACTCCCTTGATATGTAATAGTATTCCTTTGAAATCTGTTGCGAGAAGTACTGGTTTTTAAAAAAAGCAAATTAGGCATCTCAATATGATAGGTAAGTTCATGCTGATACAGGAGCACCATGAGATTTCATTTGTCGTCCTAAAGTGTTTGCAGTCATTTTAGATAACCCAAGGCTTCTCCTAATGTCATACAAGGATAAAGACAGATCCACAGAAAACTGACAAGTATTTATTTTAGCCATTAGTTATGAAGACCTTCCTGATCCATTCTGTTCAAGCTGTCTGCAAGAACCAAAATCAATTTAAGCATCACTTTTCTACCCCGCACTTTTGCTCAGCTCGTTTGAATGAGCCAACAGCTTTTAAGTGGTAATAAGAAAGATGAAACAAAGGAGACTGAATTCAAACAACCATTGAAAAACATTTAAGTCATGGAAGGAATGATAAATTCATGGGTGCTGTTTCTTCTCTTACTTAGGATATTCCTGCCGGTTGGTATCACAGAATATGGCCCTTATCCTATTGAAGGAAGATTCTTTGGATGTAAGTAGTTTTTTAAAAGTTGCATTTGATGTAATGAAAGTCTTTGTTTTTTCCCACTATGACTGATTACCAGGATTTTTTTTTTTACTAAACTGTTGTAAAACTATGTGTTTCTGTATTGATGAATTGATGATAAAATCATATCTTTAAATATAAAAATAGTAAACTCAGAACATTGCTATGTGACAATACTCAATTTTATTCAACTAGAATTGTAATTTTGCATTAAAAATGGGGTAGTTTTCATCTGTTTTAACTTCTGGTTATGATTTGTGTTAAGTAGTAATAGTTAATTCCCATGTTGGTTACCAAGGAGTCTTGTAGGGTTTTCTTTTTAGTACAAACTTGAAGATAAAGATAATATTCAAGTGTCAGGAGTTGCTTAAATTTATATAGCAATAGGATACATTTACAGTGATTATTCCCTGACCAATTATTCCCTGATCGATCGCCACCAGCTCATACAGAATTGCATGGCATGGTTCTCTGAGCAGTGTAGACCTTACCCACCCCATCGGGGCCTAGAGCCTCTGACGAGACCAGGGGAAGGAGCCCTTTAGCGGGTGACCAGTGATCTGGGAAGTGGCTTAATATGAAGATATGAGCTAAACAACGCAACTTATTTGTCAGCACTTTTATCAAGGGCTTGTTACTGGCAAGCACCCACCACACGGTTCTAGTCAGAATATTTAAATGGCAATGCTAGGCACAGATGACAAGACAAGGTTAGTTACCATTTTAAATGCAGAAGTATAATATGGAGATTTCTGAACTTGCAAATTGGCGAGGCCCTGGATCCGTCAGTGAAGGCCGAGGCACTCTCTCCCTCTTCAGGGCTGCAAAGGCAGGACTCAGGCAGAGTCTGTGTGCCTTCAGGGCACCACTGGCTAAATATCCCCACTCTGGCTTGTGGGCTTCAGGATTTATCTCAATGTGCCGCTTTTCCATTTGTGTCTCTGCCAGCAGGAAGCCCAGAACTCTCAGGTCATCCCTCCTCTCCTGGATTCTGATGCTCCTGTGCTCTGGGCCCCTGCAGAAACTTCCTCTCCCCAGTGTTCTCATTGCCCAGCACTCCCTACCCCATGGGCCTCTATTTCCCCCTACAGAACGTTTCACCTTTGGAACTAATGTGTATCATATATATAAAATTATATATCAAATATACAATAATTATAATAATACTATATATTATAATATAATAGAGGATTATAAAAAGGTACCATAAGATTTACCCTCTTAACCATTTTTAAGTGTATAGTTCAGTGGTTTTAAATATGTTCGTATTGTGCAGTCATCACCACCATCCATCTCTAGAACTCTTTTCATCTCACAGAACTCTGCACCCCCTTAAACAGCCTCCCCACTTCCTACCCCCAAATTCCTGGTAACCATCACGGTACTTTCTGTCTCTGTGGGTCTGAGTATTCTGGTGTATCATATAAGTGAAATCATTCAGCATTTGTCTTTCTGTGAGTGGCTTCATTCACTTAGAAAAATGTCCTCAAGGTTCATCCACATTGAGGAATGTGTTAGAATTTGCTTTTTTTTTAAGGCTGAATAATCATCCATTGTATGCATGTGCCACATTTTTTTATACATTTATTTATCAGCGGACACTTGGGTTGCTTCTGCCTTTTGGCTATTGTGAATAATGTTGCTCCGAAGATGAGTGACAAATATCTCTTTGAGACCCTTCCATTTTTTTACTATACTGTACTCAGAAGTAGAATTGTTGGATTGTATGGTGATTTTATGTTTAACTCTTTGAGGCACTGCCAGAGTATTTTATATTCCCAGCAGCAGTGCACAATGTTCCAACTTCATATCTTCACCAACACTGTTCTTTTCTTTTATTACATTTAAAAAAAATATTTTTGGTGATAGCATTCTGATAGGTGTGAGGTGGTATCTCATCGTGCATTGATTTACATTTCCTTAATAATTAGTGATGTTAGGCATCTTTTCAGGTACTTATCAGTCCTTTGTATATCATGTAAGAGAAAAAAATTCATCCTACTTTTAAGTCAGGTTGTTTGTTTGTTTTTTCCTTGTGAAATACTTTATATTTTGCTTTTAACCCTTTAGTTCCTTAGAACATAAGGTCCATGGAGCAAAAGTCTGAATTATTTTCTTACACTGGGCATTTTTACCTTCGGGACAGTGTTTTGCACAAATTAGGTACTCAATAAATGTTTGAAGGGAGTAAATGGACAAACTTAAGGAAATTTTCCAGTTACCAGTTCGAACTTCTACATAAAAGGTCATGCTGATGAGGCAGCGGCTCCAGCTGCTACTATGCTGGGCCGAGGGCAAGCCGACATTAGGAGGGAATCCGAACTGCAGCTGGTAGACACCAGAGTGGAGTGCGGTGCAGAGAAGTGCGCAGGGCCCTTGGATGAGGCCACCTAGGGTGTCTGTACCCAGAGCCCTCTTATTTCTTTATGATTTCCGGTTCTGAGGCATCCACAGCCTTAAAATAAACCTCTTTTTCTGGAGGTGACTCAGAAGTGAGCCTGTATTTTCTTCTTATACCAGGCATTCTCTGGAATCCAAGAGATGGACTTTGATTCTGCATAGCAGTACAGCATGCACAGCCCTGACTGAGACATTTGGTTTACCTTGGCCAAGGGGTGATTTGTGAAGCCAAACAGAATGTTTTATGGGTGTGAGCCTGATTTCCCGTGGTAACCCATTAAGAATGCTTCTTTCTTATCCAGTATTGAACATCCTTTAGTACAATGACTTTAATGTATTCAGCATCGGTTGAGCAGACGTGCATTTTCTATATACTTTTTCTGTTCTTTACTCAGAGGGGTTACTCCATATTTCTGACTGAAGTCCTTCTCCTCCCATTCTACCTCCTCTTCTTCTCCCCCCTTATTCTTTAATTTGGTTAAAAGCATTTCTATTCTTAGTAAAATTTCACTTGGTGGGTGTGGAGTAAAAGCAAAGTGCCAGGGCAATAAATTAGGTATATAGTAAGTTCTAGCGAAGCTCTCATTTGAGTTTTTAATGTTACTGGGCTCTGATGGTGAAGCAGAGAAGACAGTGATAGAGGAAATGGTCCAAGACCCAGAAGCATTGGGCCTGGCTTCCCTGACTTTATTGCTCATATAAATGTGAGGGGAATGGAGGGGCTCACTTCAAGTCCCAGAGCTGGCACTTGTCACCTTCACTTGACCAATAAGTATGTGTAGGCTAGGACTCCAAATGCTTATAAATAATTTGGATTCATATCTCTGTTGAGTTTTTCAGCTGTTGCCAAAATAAGGTCCATGCTCTGAGATACAGATGAGATCAGTGGTCTTTGAAATAAGGATTGGGTGTGTGGTGCTGCACCCCCTAGGGGGGCACTAGGTGATTATATGTCCAAAGAAAACATGTTTTCTTTTTTTTTAGGTTAAAAAAGGTACTAAGAAATCAGCTTTACTGATAATAATATGTGGCTTGCCGTTGGCACACTCAGTCCTTATTTCTGGCATACTGACCAGAAGCAGGGCTAGGAGGAGTGGGGAGGGGGAGGAGGGAGGCACGGAGTTGCACGTGTCAGAAGGGCTAACGCTGGGTCTCTGGCTCTTGTTTGCTTTTAGCCCATTGTAAAACATTGCCATTTACGTGTACTGGCTAAATGGACTTATGGACTATACTTAGTTTTGGTTTAACCAACTCTCATAAGGTGATGGCTTAAAGGGCTTCCTATTTTTTGAAAAAATGGAATGGAGGTAATAACAACTGAGGTAATAGGGCTTCCTATTTTTTGAAAAAAATGGAACTGAGGTAATAACAATGGAACTGTAAACAGAAGCCACAACAACATGGCATTGCTTGACCTGTGTGCTAGTTAAAGTTTTCCTTTGGCTACTTGATGAGTTAGAGCAAGGATCACATATGACAAGTCAAGCAAATTTCAAAATTACCCACAGGCCTACTATCATTAATCATGAATCTTGCCCTAGATTTATGTGGTATCTTCAAATAGAAGCTGTGACAATATGAAACCATTTTGGAATTAGTGGGACTTTAAAAAGTAAGAATCCTAAGTATGAGAATAAAAATCAACAGTTTTATTAGCAATTAAAAAAACATGTAATATTCAAATCAGCTATTGTTTGGACTTTCACAGAACCTACTGCTAGCTATTGAATAATAAGAATTGCCTTTTGATATTTGTTAGTAAAAGACAAAAGGTGCCAAGCCATTTGGGGAGCGTTTGTTTTCCTGCTGCAATAATATAGAGAAAATAACATGGCAACAGTGGAAATATATATACATGTATATGAATAGAGACCTATAGACAACTTTGCTGAGATTTTATAAGAAACAATTGGTTAAGCAAATTATGAAAAATAGGAGATTTGTTACATATTTGGATGGAAGAGTACCTATTTCTAACATGTGTTAACTTATGGACCACACCAGTGATTTTCAACTGGTGTGCTGCAAGAATTTTTAGAACGTGCAGTACCTGAGTAGTCAGAGGCACTGACATTTTACCTTAGATTGTCAAATAAAAAAAAATGACCATAGCCACCTTGAACAGTGTGGCTCAGTTGGTTGGGCATTGTCCTGCAAAGCAAAAGGTTGCCTGTTCAATTCCTGGTCAGGGCACATGCCTGGGTTTTGGATTCAGTCCCCAGTTGGGGACTTGCTCAAGAGGCAACCAGTTGATGTTTCTCTTGCACATTGATATTTCTCTCCCTCTCTTTCTCCTTCCTGCCCCCTCTCTCTAAAAATAAATTTAAAAAATATTTAAAGAAACGACAACAGCTAATAGAACAATAGCTGTCTGGTGTGAATAAATCAAAGTTATACCTGTTTTGGGGGGGTCAGATTGGCGAACAATATATTTTTGGTGTGCCACAGAATTTTAGTAATTAGTTTATCTGTGCCATGAGATGAAAAAGGTTGAAAATCGCTTGAATACACACAAACACACACATGCGCACACACACTAGTATTTTTTCTGAGTCATCAAAAGGAAGATGTATTGGTAACAGTAT